GGCCACTTGTGGGACCTCCCGCGACCTCATCTGGCACGGGCGCCGTGGTGACGTCACCGTCACTTAGTGGCGAAAAGCGGCTGTTGGTATTATGGGGCGGGGGGGGGGGCGTTCTACAACAGCTGTGTGGGCAAGACACAAGTGCCATAGCCCTCCATCACCCATCGTGGTGTCAGTGTCATCATCATCATTACCACCACAACACCTCCCCCCCTATCGTTCCTCACGACTGCAGGTCACACGTTTGTGTTGTCACCAGGCAGAGGGGCTCACCGCACACAAATCCCAGTGTAGCCAAGCGTGCCATTATTACGTCGCTTCGAGAGAGGCCGTCAAAACCGCACAGATCACTCGGCGGCCAAGCGCAGAGCTTGCCGACCACCCCGTTTGCGTCTCCGACATTTACGAAACGGAAACTCCGCTTTCATTTGCTCTTGATGCAACCAATTGCCATAGCCACGTAGGTAAAAAATAAAATAACAAAAATCACGACGTTTCGGCCACAACACAAGCGGCCTTCATCAGGTGAAGGGACGAGACTGTCTGGAGGACACTCCAGCGCTGTCCTCCAGACAGTCTCGTCCCTTCACCTGAGGAAGGCCGCTTGTGTTGTGGCCGAAACGTCGTGATTTTTGTTATTTTATTTTTTACCTACGTGGTGACTTTACCCAATAGAACCAAAGAGTATGGATCCTAGCAGTCACGAAAGCTTCAAATCTAGAATTGCCATAGCACCACCATTCATATATTTCGTCAAAAATGATTATTTCGCACGGGTTTAAAATATAAAAATATTAGCACACGTTTGTCGTTAGGGGCGTTTGCGCGCAACTTTTATGGGTCTGGCAGCATTACATGGGGGGGGGAGGGGGGGTTAACATTAATAAACGAGACGGTGGAACGAGGGTCACCGGGGCTCTTGTCCACAAGCCACGGCAGACTTCACGACTCGTCCTCCCGCCTGCAGAGGGAGGCCTCGGCTACACCAACACGGGCGGCGCGAGGATCCACGATGCTTCCGTTAAAACCGGTGGCTGTTTGTAACCTTTGCCGCAGCCTTGCAACCCCTTTGGTTCTCAATCGTTCACAAACAACGTGCAACGTCAACAGACGTAGGGGGTTTGATGAAACAAAGCGGTTGCACTTGGCCCGCGCGCAATCTGTATTTCGATGATATACCTTCGAAATAAATCCCCAGAACGGGGATCTTGCAACCCCCAAGGGGTGCGTGCACCCCTGGATTAAGAACCACTGGGCGAGACGATCGTGGGGTAACACAGCAACATCAATTTACAACTTACACCCCTCTCACGTCGTCGCTTTATTATGAACACCGCTAACGCAATTTACGTCGGTGACAGCATCGATCCTTTCTCGTATCCCCATCGCTTCTTGCTTCACCTATCCTGTAAACTACCCTGTGGTGTCGCGCGCATGACGACATGTACTGTGCTTTCGATGACAAAATATATTATTGATGTACGGTATTTTGGGAAAAAATTGTTTCAATTTACGTCGCACATTTCAGGAACGCATCACCAATGTAAATTGGGGTACTGCTCTACAATGGCCAATGTTCTGCTACACCGTCTGCCACCCAACAAATCAAATTTGTCACCTGGAGCACCACACCAATTTATGTGCTTTCGGCAAACCAGAATGTTGAAAAAAAAACAAAAAAACAATCAGATTTCCGTACGACGTCTCATTGGACATTACAAAATCGGGCGTCAGGTGTTTGGTAAGAGATGCTGGTGGAGATCCGATCAGAAATCCTCTCATCTCTCAATACCCAGCCAGTGAACAGGGTGGCCACAACCTCAGCACCACGACAGCACCTCATTGAGATCAATATAGCAAGTTGCCTCTGGCAACCTCGTTTCTCACAAAACCACAGATTTTAAAAAAGAAAGTCTTCGTTCATCATCGCCATGGAGAAATGCATCGTGCAGGACCTTGAAGCCGCAATTAAATTTTGTTGGTGCAAATCTTAATTGGGTTAAGTTGTGGAAGAGGGGTAATTTTAAAACGTTTTTATTTTTTATCAGGCAAGACACCGAGCTATATTTGCACTTTTTCAGAAGCCACTTTGCCACAAATGATCGTTGAATAAAGCGGCTTTCTTGGTAAACGCCATTATTGCAAACAACAAAACCCATTTAGCACCACATTTGTATTATCTCGTGGTAGAAGAGTGGCTCTCGAACAACTACGAACCCAACGACGCAAAAAATAACTCGATTCTCAGCCACATCACGAGCGAATTATATCCAAATCGGTGGTTGGCTCCCCACCTACCCATTCACCACAACCGCACAAGTGAAGCGTGGCAGGTCAAATAACCACCCCACCCCGCATGACAAGACAGCGTGGCCTTCGCCGAGCAGTCCATTGACAGAGGGCACCAAATAATAACGCTTTAAATGACGGGTTATTCTGAAAAGGCGACAATTTAAAATACAATCACTGGGTATCACCATCAAGCGCAAAGTAAAAACAAAAATGCTCGTCCGCATGCACTATGCATTATCATCATCATCGAGCTGTTATACACAGAGCCTTTTATTTTCCTGCATGCGCTTACGGAAATAATTCCATGAAGATAGCTGCAACTCAACTGCGTTCAATTAAGATCGCATTGAAATCACGCAGTTGCCTCTAAACGAGCAAAAGGCGAAAACGACCCGAGGCAAGGCCACTGGGCAACGGAAACCACGTGGCATTAAGAGGGCAAAGGTGCAGCCCTGCAGTGCCGATGTTTACCGCACACCGCACCCCCCCCCTCCCGTACCCGCAGCTCCTCCGTACGCAGGCTGCACGAAGGGACGGTGCCCGACCGCTGTGGCCCAGGCGTCGTGCCGCGCGTGGCCCGGGTGGCCGCCCGTGGCACCGCGGGGGGGTCCGGTCGGCGTGCCCGGCGCGGAGTGGCAGCTCGCCGCCGCTCCGATACCGCACGTGTGGCAGCGAGCGGCGGCCCCCCCCGGGGTGCCCGGCGAGGACTGGACGGGGGGTGAGGGTGGGTTAGGCAGCGATTAGAACAAATCACGACGGACGACGTACGCATGTCAAACTTCTTATGCACCTTCTTGGTTCTTTCGGTAAAGTCACCACCACGTAGAAGGGAAACAATAAAATAATAAAAATATAAAACTTTAAAATTCTCACGACGTTTCGACTGCAACACAAGCAATCATCATCAGGTGTAAAAACCACAGCAAGACATTTTTTTTTAAAAAGTGGCGGGTTTTTTTTTTACATTAGCACCACGGAGAGCGATTTGGCAGTTATTCAGATGGACGAGTCCATCTATGTTCGGAAAAGAGGAGGGGGGAGACGAAAATGATGGATGCGGTCTGAAAGCCACCGTAAGCGTGAACAATCAATTAAGACCCGGAATGGTTTATCAAATCCTTCCAATGATTGCTAAGCCAGAATTCCTTCCTCTCGGTTGAAATTGTCTCTGTGTTTGTATATGTGGATAGCCTCATGAACGAATCTCTCATGGTAGCCAGATGGCTTACAGAGAACCTCTGTAAGCCATCAGGCTACCATGAGAGATTCTCCCGTTTCGGTCTTAGGAGGAGGGATAATTGCGATGTCATCACCCGAGAGCCAATCAGGTGCCAAGGGTTGCGCAATTCAGCCACTGGCACGCTGGCACCCGGGCTCGGATCTTGGTAGCCTCTTCCATCTCCTCCTCCTCAACCTGTAAAAACCCTCCACAGCTACCACTGTTAGCTAACTATTGTAACTCTCAAATGCAACTTTCATCAAGCCCCCCGAGTGTGAAGTGCAGTCTCCAACCTCGTATTCTCCACCATCTCTGGCTTCCTCGATTCCAGTGCCGTGAAGGGAAAATTTGCCCGAAATGCGGCCGATCAGCGTTGACTTTTTTTTCCACATTTTGTCAACATGTTGCCAAAGATGTCCCTTAAAGGCTTAACGGACGTTCGGGGCAAGTGCAGTGCGAGCAACTACGAGGCCGGCAAAGCACACGGAGGAGGTGGGGAAGCCAGACCCACGCCCGACCGCCTTCTCCCCAGTGGCGATGTTTATACATCGCACCAGGTGCTCATTGGATAGACCTCAGGAAAAGCCCGGGACCGTTTCAGATAATCGTCACCTGGCGTTGGCCGTAAGTGGGAATCAAACCCCGGTGGGTCGTAGGCGGGTTTGTGGTGCAGCGCATCAACCACTGTGCCACCGCTCCCCTAAACCATGGCACCGCTGCAGTGGCAAGATGTTAACTACCTCGCCTGGAGTACAATAGGTCGTGGGGTTTGATCCAGACCCCCGACGCCTGCATATTTTTGGAGTTTTCAACGTCCTCCCCCGTGGTCACGTGGATTTCTCTGGGTCATCCAGTTTCTACCTCCACGTTTTAGAACCGACGTGCATTTGGAGTATTTGGCTGCTGGAAATGTCCACGCGATAAGCCGCTTCGTTGAGCAAATCATTTGTGGCCGGGTCGCTTCTGAAAAGAGAGTTAAGTAGCTCGGTGGGCCTCACATGGTACAATAAATAAATAGTTTAATGGTAAAGAGCGGCTGCACCTCTCACCTGCACCATGGCCACGTCGTGGTGCAGAGCGGACAGCATGTACTCGCACGGGGTCAAGTCCTTGATCTCGCTGATGCGAAAGACGATGTGTTCGAAGACCTCCTCGCGAGGGGCAATGGGACGGTCGGCGGGGCGCCCCTCCGTCCCGCGCAAGCACACTGCGCGCACACAAAGACGCCCGCCGCCGGTACAGACCTCCACGTACCCGTTTGGTCAAGCGTTGTTACGGTCGAGAGCACCTATGCAGGTCGGAGCAGGTGCGTGGTTGTGGGTTTTGGGCGCCACTGTGGTGAGACGTTAACTACCTCGCCTGGTATATATCGAAGGTCATGCGTTTCATCCCAACCCTGACAACACCTGCTGTATATTTGGAGTCAGCGAGGTTTTCTCTTCCCATGGGTCAAGTGGATTCCCCCCCCCCCTCCAGGTCCTTCGATAAGCCACTTCGTTGCGTTACCTGCCATTTGTGGGGAGGTCACTTCTGAAAGAGCGATATAGTAAGTGGGCCTTACCCGCAACATAAACAATTCTTTAAAATAGTTTCTAGCTGGTTCAGCTACCTTCATCCTCCCCAGTGCTGATTTAATCATCTTTTTTACTTACACACCGCACCAGGTAACTTCACTTGAAGGCAGTCTACCTACGCGAAAACCAGAATGTGTTGGGATACAAGGCCACCACCGACGACGTTGTCTGTAGCCAGGAATCAAATCTAGCTCGCGGGGTTCCGAGCTGCACACATTTCTCAACTCTGCAAGCCATGCAAGCCAAAAATTGAGATTCATTTATTTCCTGTAACAAGCTGTATTAAATATTCTTGTTTCTTTCGGTAAAGTCACGTAGAAGGGAAATAATAAAAATAAAACATAATAAAATAAAAATGAAATTTATTTTATTTTTATTTAAATAAAATTAAAATGAAATTTATTTTATATGTATTTTATTTTATTATGTCTTAGCTGTATTAAAACCAATAGCCCGTCATCCATAAGCCATATGCCTGCAGGTATTGAATGTTTATGGGTATCAACATCACAAATCCCTATCATCACTGTCGCAAAGAAGAAGTTCTCCATTGTGCCAATTTAATCCCGACAGGTGCCGTTGGCCCAAATCTGTGAATCCATAGAGTATTTGGCGGCTAAACGTTCCCACGCGCTAAGCCACTTCGTTGCGTTACCTACCATTTGTGGGCAGGTCGCTTCTGAAAGAGCGATATAGTAAGTGGGCCTTACCCGCAACCTAAACAATTCTTTAAAATAGTTTCTAGCTGGTTCAGCTACCTTCATCCTCCCCAGTGCTGATTTAATAATCTTTTTCACTTACACACCGCACCAGGTAACTTCACCTGAAGGCAGTCTACCTACGCGAAGCCCAGAATGTGTTGGGATACAAAGCCACCACCGACGACGTTGTCTGTAGCCAGGAATCAAATCTAGCTCGCGGGGTTTCGAGCTGCACACATTTCTCAACTCTGCAAGCCAAAAATTGAGATTCATTTATTTCCTGCAACAAGCTGTATTAAATATTCTTGTTTCTTTCGGTAAAGTCACATAGAAGGGAAATAATAAAATAATAAAAATAAAACATAAACTCAAAATGAAATTTATTTTATTTTTATTTAAATAAAATATAAATGAAATTTATTTTATATGTATTTTATTTTATTACGTCTTAGCTGTATTAAAACCAATAGCCTGTCATCCATTAGCCATATGCCTGCAGGTATTGAATGTTTATGGGTATCAACATCACAAATCGCTATCATCACCGTCGCAAAGAAGAAGTTCTCCATTGTGCCAATTTAATCCCGACAGGTGCCGTTGGCCCAAATCTGTGAATGAAGGCAAAAATGAATCTGGAACATTTCCAAATTAACTGTTTTGGGGCCGTCCAGAAATGACGTCACGCACCTGGGGGGGGGGGGGGGGTCAGACATTTGTGACAATGTGTGACGACTGGGGGGGGGGGAGTTTGATAAATGTGACGTCACATCAAAATGCGCAACTTTAAATATAAAAACACGTTCTACTTAATTAAATAGACGGGGGGGTCAAAAAAATCGTTCAAAATCGCGTGACGTCATTTATGGACGGCCCCTTAAGCGGCACCCTGCCGGGCTTTTTGGCCGGGGTCACGCGCCGTCTATGACCAGCCGTGTCTCATTGCCCCGTGACTACCGACCCGACTTCAACACTTGATTTTTGCACACAGCGTTTTAATACGTTTTTTTTGTGTGGAATATTTGCTGGTTTATTCCAGAATGTTTCTGTTACGCGTCGTCGCTTTAGGATGTTCTGTGTTCAAATTTTGTTTGTTGCGGTTGCACCCGACTTAAGAGCCGCATGGCTCACAGGGGTATACCTAATAAATTAAACTTGAAACTTGAACACGCGCACGCACCGAAACCACGAACTTGTTCAGGTCAACGGGGTTAATCGCGCGTTCGTGTTGGCATAGCTGTCAACCCCTTATCAGTGCCCCTAGATTGTTACAGATCGATTCAAACCCTTATTGGTCACCCCCTGCCCTTATAAACATCAACGTTTAGCCAACGAGGTCCCGTCGCCAAGGGAGAAACACAAACAGATGGACGAAACAATGTGTGCCCGTATTGAAACGGCTGTGCACCCAATAACCTTCATTGAAAAATACTTGAAACCACTGCGACCCAGAATCAGCAAGAACAACAACCTCAGAACATTCGTGATTAAGCGGGTGACGAGTTGAAGAACTTTGCCCCAGTACAGCTAGAGGCGCCGGCCATAAATGACGTCGCGCGATTTTGGACGATTTTTGCCACCCCCCCCCCCCCAAAAAAATATATAAAACACGCTTCAAATCTCTTTAAACTATTATCATTTTAGTGCGTATTTAATGTGGCGCTGCACTCCGATGTTGAAGGTGAAAACATTTATTAACAAGTCTATTTGATTAAGTAGAACGTTTCGATTTAAAGCTTTCGTGACTGCAGGGATTCATCTTATTGGCTCTTTCGGTAAAGTCACGTAGAATGGAAATAAAATAATAAAAATGAAACAATAAAAAAACATTTTATTTTATCAAATAAATAAATAGCATTTTACAATTTTTAAAAAATAAAATGTTATTGCTTTATTTTTATTATTTTATTTCCATTCTACGTGACTTTACCGAAAGAACCAAGAAGATAAGTAGAACGTGTTGTCTATATTTAAAGTTGCGAATTTTGATGTGACGTCACATTTCTCAACTCCCCACCGCCCCTCGTCACACATCGTCACAAATGTCTGACCCCCACGTGACGCATCAATGGCTGTCATTTTAAACATTTCTGGGCAATTCCCACTGAGATTAAGGACTCTCTTACAAATCCAGGTTAATTGAAAACACAAAAGTACATACAGCAATCCAATACAATCATGATTTCATTTAGTTCTTTTCATTTATTTTATAGATTTTTTTCACCTACGTGACTTTACCGAAAAAAAAAACAAAGACTATCTTATTTGTCGTTTGAGCATCTTAACACCTCCTGTTTGATTGCCCTGAAAAGGGTCAAACCCCTCTTTAATAGCCCCCCACACATTGACCCCACGACACCCACACCAATCTGTCCAGAAGGCGACAACGTCGCCGACACGTTCACCTCCTCCTGGCAAACTTTCCCCAGCCCCAAGGCCTCCTCCTGCTGCTGCTGCTGCTGCCCGAGCGAGTCGCCTGTTAGGACGACTCAAGCGGCTTCATTAAACCCCTAACCCGCAGCTTCGGGGTGTCCACAGTCGCCCCGTGAACCACCCCCCACCCCCCAGTGCGTAACCTTTCGCCAAGACGACGGTGGAGTCGTCCGTGTTGATGTCACAGAGGATGCCCTCGTAGCGGATGCCCGCCATGGAGAGCAAGCTCATCCTGACGCCCATGCAGGCCGCCCAAGTGGCCATGGTCGCCGGCTCTGGCTACGGGCGACGAGAGGGGCTGGTGGGGCCGCCTTGGTGGGGCCGGGCAGGAGGAGGGGGGGGGGGAACTTGGCCCGGATCGTGAGACGACGACGATGATGATGATGGTGTTGGTGGTGGTGTTGATGATGGTGATGATGGTGGTGTTGTTGATGGTGGTGGTGGTGTTGATGGTGGTGGTGTTGATGGTGGTGGTGTTGTTGATGGTGGTGGTGTTGATGATGTTGGTGGTGTTGATGATGATGGTCTTGTTGATGGTGGTGGTGTTGATGGTGGTGGTGTTGTTGATGTTGGTGGTGTTGATGATGATGGTGTTGTTGATGGTGGTGTTGATGGTGGTGGTGTTGATGGTGGTGGTGGTGTTGATGGTGGTGTTGATGATGATGGTGTTTATGATGATGGTGGTGGTGTTAATGATGATGTTGATGATGGTGGTGTTGTTGATGATGGTGTTGATGATGGTGGTGTTGATGATGATGATGGTGTTGATGATGATGTTGATGATGGTGGTGTTGATGATGGTGGTGGTGTTGATGATGATGGTGATGATGATGGTGGTGTTGATGATGATGGTGTTGTTGTTGATGGTGATGTTGATGGTGGTGTTGATGATGTTGATGGTGTTGATGATGATGTTGATGATGATGGTGATGTTGATGATGATGGTGTTGTTGATGATGGTGATGTTGATGATGATGGTGGTGTTGTTGATGGTGTTGATGATGATCGTGTTGATGATGATGGTGTTGTTGATGATGATGATGGTGTTGATGATGATGATGGTGTTGATGATGATGATGGTGGTGTTGTTGATGATGGTGATGATGGCGATGATGATGATGGTGGTGTTAATGATGGTGGTGTTTATGATGATGATGGCGTTGTTGTTGATGATGTTGATGATGATGATGGTGATGATGGCGATGATGATGATGGTGGTGTTAATGATGGTGGTGTTTATGATGATGATGGCGTTGTTGTTGATGATGTTGATGATGATGATGGTGATGATGGCAACAACTCACGGCGTATCCCCCACGTGTTCACGGACACGCCACTGGCACTGCAATGCACTCTGGGTAGCGCCAAGTGGGCGGGATTGTGGGGGGAGGGGGAGGGGGATTTGTTTCTCTTCCGCTCAACGTCGTGGGTTTTTTGCTTTGTGTTTCATTTTAGTCATTTTTTATTTAATTTTTATTTTCTATCTACGTGACTTTACCGAAAGAACCAGGAATGTGAACTGCATGAAATATAAAGCGGGTCACGTGCATGCCTCTCGACCAATAGAAATACGCGGCATTTTTTTAAACCGAGGGGCATTTCCCCACCCCGCCCACCCTGCCCCCCGTCCACCCCGCCCCTTACACCCCCGCCCCCTTACACCCCGCCCCCTTGCACCGCCCCGCCCTCTTCCACCCCGCCCCGCCTCCTTCCACCACGCCCCCTTCAAACCCCGCCCCTCCTCCACCCACGTCTCTCCGTGACGGTTTGAAGGCCCAGTTCAGTTTTCAGTTTATTTTAGCCCTGTGAGCGATTCGGCTCTTGAATCGGGTGCAACCACAACAAACAAAAAAAACAAAAACACGAACAAGAAAAACATCTTAAAGTGACTATGTGACTGTGCAAACAGAAAATCCATGAAAAAAACAGCAAAATATTCCTGAAAAAAGTAGCCGTACACCAACGCTGTGTGCAAAAAATCCCAGTGGGATGCAAGTCAAACAACAACCACAAAAACTTAGATTAAGGCCATCAGTTTAACTCCGTACTACAACAAAACAAACATGTCCAAACCTAAAAACGTTTTCCAAATCACCAAAAAATAAAGCCATAATTGCAGCGTAACAGTGATCACAGGGACTGTGACCGAATTTTTACAATTAACTACATAAATAACATGTAACACCAAATCCTAGAGCCATAGTTGGCTGCATGAGTTACTCCACAACAACAGAAGCATCGGTCTGAGTATCAAATTACTCAATGTACCTTTAAGATCAGCACGCTAAATCAAAATACAGATAATACTTTGCAGCGTCATCCGGAGCAAAACATTTTATTTTATGTTACGCCAATGAATAGCAGTGGCAGCTAGGGGTGTACAACTCCTCGAGAGCAGTTTTGAGAGAAGATCTCATTGGTAGCGATTCAAGTTGCAGTTTATTGGCAATAGCATTCCAGACTCTGGGGGCATCAATAGCAAAGGCCCTTCCTACGGCAATAGGGAATGTGAAGCTGGTAAATGAGCGAAGACCTGAGGTCAAATTTGTTATTTGAAATAGAGTGGAGATCCAGCAGGTAGTCTGTGGATTTTTTTGTAAGTACATCGTGAATAAATAAGATCTGGTGCACAAGCCGTCGAACATTAAGAGACGTTAAGTTTGACCCAATGTAGAGATCACAGTGGTGAGTCCTATATGTGCAGTTCAATGTAAATTTTAAGGCCGAGTGATAGATGGAATCAAGCTTCTTCAGTACAGTACTTGGGGCTGATTTATACACGATGTCACAGTAGTCAAGTAGAGGCAGTATGGTAGCTTTTATCAATTCCAAACGGAACATTGGGGGGAAGCAGTGCTTGTGTCAATACAGAAAACCAATTTTTATTTTTGTCTTTTTACCAATATAATCAATGTGATCTTCAAAATTCAGTTTTGAATCCAGGATGACCCCAAGATACTTATAGATCTTGACTTGCTCTATTTTATAATTATTTAAGGAATGTAATTGGGGAAACATGACTTCCTGCTTTAGTCCTGGTGAGAAGCATAGTACCTTGGTTTTGTAGGTATTCAGGACTAGTTTAAGAGCAACTAGCTGATGTTGTAGTTTGTTGAAATCACCCTGTAGCTTAGCAATCACGTCATCCGGAGAGCGGCCAGCAGTAATCAGTATTGTGTCATCTGCAAAAAGATTTACCCTGGAATGATCCAGGTCAGTGCCCAAGTCATTGACATAAAGAGAGAAGAAAAGGGGGCCGAGGATGGAACCCTGTGGAACCCCTTTTGTTATCTTAACACTGTTTGACCTCCAACCATCTGTGAATACAGTTTGGGTGCGAGAAAAGAGGTAATTTTGTAACCATTTTACTGTGTTTTCGGAAAAACCGAGGCAACTTAATTTACTAAGCAGGGTGTTGTGGTCTACTGTATCAAAAGCTTTGGACAGGTCTAGAAAAAACAGGTACAGTACTGCTTATTATCAAGGCTACTGTAAATGTGATTCAGAGAGTCGAATGCAGCAGATGTGGTGCTGTATTTTTTTCCGAACCCAGATTGTTTTAGATGTAGTAGATTGTTGGTGGACAGGAAACTGCTAATTTGGTAGGTCAATAATTTTTCAAAAATTTTCATCAACGGGGACAAAATTGAGATAGGTCAGTAGTTATTTGGATCATCTTTAGGGCCTCCTTTGTGAAGTGGACGGACATAGGAATGTTTCCATTCTAGAGGAACTGATGCTTCTTTGATGGACAGGTTGAAAATATGGGCTATAGGTTTGTATATTAGGTGACCAACAGTTAGTAGAGCAAAGACGGGAATACTATCTGCTCCGGTAGAGGAAGACCCTTTGAGGTAAGACAGTTGTTTCAGAACATTACTTTCGTGGATTGTCTGGAAACTAAATTCGTTTAATGTTTGGACAGGGGTGTAGGAATTTGCATGAGCAGAGGTGACTCCCAATACATTATAAAAAAAGATTACCAGCTTCAGAAAAATGAAGGTTAAAATTGTCAACTATTTTTTTGGGATCTGAAAAATATTCCCCATTTCGGTTAAGCTCAACGGGCAGATTGTCTGTTTTGGATGCCTTTTCGATATATTTGTTTTCAGAAAATCCTGGCATTTCCATGTGATTCCAGGAGAGTGGAGGAAAAGTAGGCATTTTTTGCATGCCGTATTTTTTTGACGCATCTATTCCTTAAAATCCTGTATTCTAGCCAGTCATTGAGCAAATTACTTTTCTCAGCACATGCCCAAGCCTTGTCCCTAGTTTTCATTAGCTTTGTAATCAAATGATCAAACCATGGTGGGCGGTTGCATTTAGTTTTAAATCTAACCAACGGAGCATGTTTGTTAAGAATTTGGAGAAACGTGTACCTGAAAGTCTCCCAAGCCGTAATCAGGTTGGGGATATCACAGACCTTGTCAATATCCGAGTGAAGCACATCATTAGCAAATGCCTGAGTGCTGAAGTGTCTCATAGAGTGCTTCTCAACCAATTTAGGGGGGCTTTGGGTCTGGCTGATGATCTCACTCCAAAAATGAAGGAGTGATCACTAAGGTTATTACCCAGAACACCAGTCAGTGTGAAATTGTGAGGGGCATATGTCAATAGGACGTCAAGCAGAGTTGACTGTCCCGAATATTTTAGGTTGGGTCTTGTGGGGACATTTATTAATTGAAACAGATTAAATTCATCTGCAAAATGTGTGGCCACGGCCGGCGGGTTTAGCCAATTCCAATTTAGATCACCCACTAAAACTATTTCACCTTTAGGGAGGCGCCCAAAAAGCTCTCTCAGTGCAGACGCAGCTTCAACATCCTTCCCACTAGGCGGTCGATAGCAGCACACTACCAATATCTGTTGATTATTTGGGAGCGTTATTTTGAGAGCGAGACCTTCAAAGCAACATTTTTTAAACAAGGAGTGAGCTAGTGAACAAGCTCCTCAGCCGCCACCATTTCAGTCTCCGACCGCCAGCGCTTCCTCTGCGTCTTCGCCATCAACAACTCCAAGTCCTTCGAGGACATCCACCAGTACAGGTGGGTCGGTGTGTGTGTGTGTCGGACTTAACGCATCCACAAGTACAGGTGGATGTGTGTCGGACTTAGTGCATCCACCAGTACAGGTGGGTCGGTGTGTGAGTGTGTCGGACTTAGTGAATCCACCAGTACAGGTGTGTGTGTGTCGGACTTAGTGCATCCACAAGTACAGGTGTGTGTGTCGGACTTAGTGCATCCACAAGTACAGGTGTGTGTGTGTCGGACTTAGTGCATCCACAAGTACAGGTGTGTGTGTGTGTGTGTCAGACTTAGTGCATCCACAAGTACAGGTGT